GGCTGGGAAGGTCGCTCAGTGGTAGAGTGCTTGCCTTGCATGCCTGAGGCCCTGGGTTTGATTCCTCAGCACCACATAAGCAAAAAGAAAAATGCCGGAAGTGGCACTGTGGCTCAAGTGGTAGAGTGCTAGCCTTGAGCTGAAGAGCTAAGGGACAGTACCCAGGCCCGGAGTTCAGGCCCCACAACCAGACCCAAAAAGAAAAAAAGAAAAAAAAGAAATGAGTCATGGGAAGACATGGAAAGACCTTTAATGTGTATTACTGAACAAAAGAAGCCAGTTTGTAAAGGCAACATACTGTATGATTTCAATTCTATGGTATTGTGAAAAGGAGAGACAGGAAAGGAAACAGTGGTTGTTAGGAGCTGAGGGAAGGAGATAAATAAGAAAAGGCATGGATGAAAACAAATTAGAGGTGAGCAATCAATTTCTTATTATCTATAAACATTTCTACACTGGCCTACTATCCAGGCCTCCTATGTTATCTGTTCTAAGTCTTTCATTTTCCAAAGCCATTCTTCCATATCCCTGCAAAATAATACATTCTTCAACTATCTTCATGTCACTAACCCCACTAACAATAGTAGTTAAAGTTCAAATCCTCCTGGATTCTAAGACTCTTCAATATGGCTTCAATGCCCTTCACACCATCATTCAATCCATCCTTTTAAACTCTGGATTCCTATGTTAATTCTCCAGCTTTGACTTAAATGACACTTTTTCACCTCATGAACAATGTTCTACTTCTAACTAAATGTTATCTCTGAAACTACTCAACCCTTACGGCCTCATCTCTGTAGTTACATAAGACTAAGTTTAAAGAAAACTAGGAGGGGCTGGGAAGGTGGCTCAGGGGTAGAGCGCTTGCCTTGCATGCCTGAGACCCTGGGTTCGATTCCTCAGCACCACCAAGCAGGGAAAAAAAAAGCCGGAAGTGGCATTGTGGATCAAGTGGTAGAGTGCCAGCCTTGAGCTGAAGAGCTGAGAGACAGCATACAGGCCCAGAGTTCAAGCCCACAACCAGACCCCCCCGCAAAAAAAAAAGAAAAAAGAAAACTAGAAGGAAACACATCCACATACCCACATACTCACACTCTTAGGGGAAAGATTTATCTAGCTCTTTATGAAAAAGACATGTAGTGGTTCATGCCTATGATTGTAGCTAGCCATGGGGCTGAGACTGGGAAGATTCTGGTTTGAGGCCAGCCTATACCAAAGAATGTGCAAGACTCCCATCTCAACCAATGAATAGATGGGGATGGCTTTCATCCCGCTACATGTGAATCAGGACAGCCAGGAGGGAAAAAAAGCAGGTAATTGGAGACATGGCTCAAGTGGTGGGGCATATACATGACAAAGCACAAGGTCCTGAGTTCAAAGGGAAAAACATAAGTGAGTCGCTAACACAGCTTTACCTGTTTCACTATTTTCAGGCAGAGGTTCATATTCTGACTGCTCCAGAGCCAAAGTGTTCATGTCTGTCTGAGTGGACTCTGGTAAGTCTGGCAATGCTGCATTCTCATGGCTTTTGTCACCATCTCCATTGGCATCCAACCCTGTAATTCCAATTTTATGCCAAGAGACAACATCAGAAGAACAGCTTTCACTTAAAACATAACAAAAATAAGCCTCACATTTGAAATTATTCAATTGGCTTAACTGGATCAGGACACACACTTGAAACAGTAACTTGGGGAAGATTAAAACAGTAACAAAGGCAGACTTGAGAAGAGGGCTGCTCCCGGTCATGGCCTGGCTAGGAGCTCACCTTGTGGGCCACACGCGGCATGATGGCTGGGAACTTCCTCCCATGTGGCACTCACACCCACAGCTGCATTACTTGCTTCCAAGTGTAACAGATGAGTCCCCCATACTTTTGCATTAGGATTTAGCTCTGAAACCTTAGTTGTTGTTACCTGGGGGAAAAAATTTTGTATTTATATTTTTATCTAAATTTCAATCATGAGCAACTTTATTAACAGAGTTAAATAAAACATACCTATGTTAAAAGTATTTAGGCTAAAGAAGCTTAGCCAGTCTATTACACAGTCCTTTGGGATGAAAAAAAAAGTTAAAAATAGTAACACAGGGTGATGCAGTGAGAACTCCCATCTAATTTGCTCTTACATTCTGAAATTCCTCCTAATTTAGTACAAGGCTCTCTACATGCTACAAATGACAGACTTGTCCCTGCCTTCAGGGGGAGTTAAATGTCTTACTAACTGTAACACAACGAAAGGATGTTCAGCAAGTTAAGACTACAGAAATCCTGTGCTCAAATGCTGGAGTCTTCCCTTCAATGGCTGCTCAATTCAGTCAGGTAAAAGCTGGAACATTCTTTTGTAACCCCAACCTCTTTGGACTTACTCCCTTCTGGTCATCAAACCTCTTCTGTTTCTAAATCTGCTGGCATCTGTCGCTCCTATCCTGCTTGTTCACATACTCATTACAGATATCTTTGTGGCTCACTCCTTTATTTTCTCTAGGAATTGTGGTCTTTCCTAACATACCCTAAAAACTTTCAATAAATGGGGCAGTGGTGGCTCATACCTATAATCCTACTACTCAGAAGGCTAAGTTTTAGGATTAAAGCTCAAAGCAACCCCAGCAGACAAATCTGCCAATAGTCTTATCTCCAATTAACAGAAAAAAAAAAAAAAGGTGATCATGAGAGTATGGCTCAATGGTAGGATGCCAGCCTTGAGGGGAAAAAGCTAAGCAAGAGCATGAAGCCTTGAGTTGAAGCCTAAGTACTAACCCACCTAACTGAACAACCAACTAATCAATCAAACAAAAACCTTTAACAAGTCAAGTACTGGTGCCTGAAATCCTACTGTTCACTAAGATGAGATCTGGAGGAATGCAATTGGAAGGTGAAGTTTGAGAGACTCCATCTGCAATTAACTAGCAAAACAGCCAGATTAGAAGTGTGGCTCAAGTGGAAAAGTTCCAGCTGTGGGCGAACAAGCCCAGAGAAAGGAAATGGCATCAAATCTAAGCCTGGACTCTGCACAAAATCCCCTCAACCACCCCCACAACATCGAATCCTCTCAGCTAATTTTTCTGATGTCATTTTTTTTTTTTTTTTT